AATGCCAATAATAGCCTATGACCTTGTCCAAGGGATTCAAGAGTAGTTTAGATCTCAATCCTATCCCTTGCTAGATGGACTTGTTTGTGATTTTAATTTGGTCACTCTTTCAAATAGATCGGTTCAATAAGGGGTTTTGGATTGTGTTTTGCTTGTCTTGTTCAACCCCTATGTCCTTTTCACCTTTCTCTCTTAAATGAAATCTTTTACCCATTCCCGTGATATGCATCATGAGTAGTGATAAGGTTTAGACATCAACACAAGCTTTCAGATAATGAGTCAAAAGATAATGAAGTTCCAAGGAAAAATATGACAATAAATTTCACATAGAAGAGATAAGTTTTTTGAGCTAATGATAAGCATATCTAGGACTTGGTTAAAGAGAGAGGATTCGCAAGTGGAAACTAAAGCAATTTTGGTTCTATCCTTCAGATGTATGTTAATGTTAATCCTTCAGGATGTTCCAGATGAAATCAGAGTGAAACATGTCTTGAGTTGGCATTTTTAGAGTTGAAATGATGAAATGCTATCTTTCTGCTATCCAAACAATAATACCACTTACCAGCCCTTTGCGCCTAAATATATTTGTCTTTCGTTCTATCAAGGTTTAAGATATTTTCGATTTGAATTTGAATTATTATTTTTTTTTTAAAAAAAGACAAGGTAGAAAGGAAAAAGAGAAGAAAAAAAAGAAAAGAATATAAAAGAAGAAAAGAAAAAAAAGAAAAAGAAGGAGAAAAGGGAAAAAAAAGAAAAAAAAAGAGAGAGATCATCATACCATGTAGCTCTTTGGACTACGTTCGACCTGATTCTTGTCACCACAAGATATATAGGCAGACTTAAGGTTCGGTCCCACCAAATAAAATATTTCATAGTCCACAAAGGCAAAACTAGGCAGTTTTTAGAAATTCCAGAAAAAAAAAATATTCAATTCTCTTGTTTCAGAAACTGGGGCAAAGTTTTAGAATAAATTTCAAAAGTTGTAAATAAAGTAACCCTGTCATTATAATTTTGAGCCTCCATGCGGTCTTTTCTTTCTCACCTTGTCCAAAAGCCTTCATTACGGTCCAAATAAAGGTCCTTATCAGATCAATTCCTAAAAATGCCAAGTCAAGCATGTTGTGAGCTTATCAAGCTTTTGGGGAAAATCAATAATGATTGAAGGTAGAGTCAACTGTCCAACTGAAGTAAAAATTAAAAGCGATAATGAATGAGAGCAAAGAGGAAAATGAGAGAGACTTGTAGGTGAAAATCTTTCGAGGCACGATAAGTCGAAATGGTGAGATATGTGTGCAACGAAGTATCTTTGATGAAAACATACAACATCCACCGCACATTTGGAGGAGAAAATAGACCAACTCTTCAACATCAAGCAAGGATTTGACAAGTTATCAAGTTTGAAAAGATGGACAAATCAAGTTATTGGTCTAAATGCATGTCACATTCCCTTGCCATATTATTCATTTTAGATAAGCTCTCATTCTTCTCAATGGAATCTCATCATACACTACTCTCTTTGATTTTTACTTGTGCTTTTGTTCTTCTTCTTTCGCCCAAGACAAGCAAGAAAGAATTTTCAAATTTGCCACAAAGAGGTCCCAAATTAGGAAGGGATATGATCAATTTAACAATCAATGCGAAAGATAGAATTTGGGAATACAAATTCCCCTAGTCGAGAGGAGTTTTTAGCATTCTTTAACTTCAGGGTCCCGCCTGAAAAATAGGGTTACTTCTTAGTTTCTTCTAAGTTGTGAGTTTCAGTTTCCTTATGTTATTAACCTTTAACTTTCCTTAAGTTCAGGAGTACCGCCTGGAAAATAGGGTCAATTTTCAATTTTCTTAAGTTATTAATCTTTAGTTTTCCTTGAGTTCAGGGGTCCCGCCTGAAGAATAGGGTCAGTTTTTAATTTTTAAGTTGTTAACCTTTAGTTTTCCTTGAGTTCAGGGGTCCCGCCTGGAGAATAGAGTCAGTTTTTAGTTTCCTTAAGTTGTTACCCTTTAACTTTCCTTAAGTTCAGGGGTCCCGCCTAGAAAATAGGGTCAGTTTTAGTTTCCTTAAGTGGTTAATCTTTAGTTTCCTTAAATTCAGGGGTCTCGCCTAAAGAATAGGGTCACTTTCTAATTTTTTTAAGTTATTAATCTTTAGTTTTCCTTGAGTTCAAGGGTCTCGCCTGGAGAATAGGGTCCGTTTTAGTTTCCTTAAGTTGTTAATCTTTAGTTTTCCTTAAGTCCAGGAGTCCCGCCTAGAGAATATGGTCAATTTTTAATTTCCTTAAGTTGTTAATCTTTAGTTTTCCTTAAGTCCAGGAGTCCCGCCTAGAGAATATGGTCAATTTTTAATTTCCTTAAGTTGTTAATCTTTAGCTTTTCTTGAATTCAGGGGTCCCGCCTAGAGAATATGGTCAGTTTTTAGTTTTTTCTAAGTTGATTAATCTTTAGTTTTCCTTAAGTCCAGGAGTCCCGCCTAGAGAATATGGTCAGTTTTTAGTTTTTTCTAAGTTGATTAATCTTTAGTTTTCCTAAAGTTAAGGGGTCCCTCCTAGAAAATAGGGTTAGTTTTTAGTTTAGTCATGCTCAGTTTATAGTTTTACTCAAGCTCAATCTGATCTCTAGGAGACGCACTTCCTAGTTTGGGTCTTTTAGGTTATTCTTTTAGGAGACGCACTTCCTAAATTGAGATTTCACCCCTAGGAGACACACTTCCTATTGTGGGTCATTCAGGTTCATCCCTACAAGATGCACTTCCTAGTTTGGTTCATTCAAATTTTACTCCTAGGAGACGCACTTCCTAAATTGAGATTTCACCACTTGGATACGCGCTTCTTAGTTTGGTTCATTCAAGTTTCAACCCTATGAGACGCACTTCCTAGTTTGTCTCATTCAAGTAATACTTTTAGGAGACATACTCTTAGGAGATGCATTTCCTAGTCTAAGTTTATTAGTTTTGCTCATAAGAGATGCATATCCTAGTCAAGTCTTTAATTTTACTCTCATTATTACATCCTTCATCAATAGCATAGGTGATTTACAGTTTTGCTAACAACTCACAAATCTTCCTAGTGCATACTGGGGCAGAAAATTTTATTCGTTTTGTTTGTTTTATTTGCAGACACATACTTGGAGAACAGTGGTCAATATTTTAGAAATTGGCTCTAAGTTCAAATCAGAGAAGCACCAGGAGCCCGCCTGAAGAACAGAGTCAACTTTTAGTTTCCTTCAAGTCAAGTAGCAGGATCCTGCCTGAAGAACATAGTCACCTTTCAATTTTTGAGTTTACGAAGCAGAAGCTCACCTGAAAATGCAAGTTTACAAGCACAAGCCTACTTCAAATTCAAGCTTATTTTAAGTTCAAATTAGAAGAACCAGGAGCCCACCTGAAGAACAGGGTCAACTATCAATTTCCAATTCAATTTAGAAGTACCAGGAGCTCACCTGAAGAACATGGCCAGCTTTCAATTTCCAGCTCAAGTGAGAATTATTAGGAGCCCCGCCTGAAGAACAGGGTCAACTTTTAGTTTTCAAGTTCAAGTCAGGGACAACACGATCCCGCCTGAAGAATAAGGGCAACCTCCAGTTTTTTAGTTCGAATCAGAAGTAGCACGAGCTCGCCGGAAGAACAAGGTTTGCAAGCTCAAGTCTACTCCAAGTTCAAGTTTATTTCAAGTGCAAGCTGCAGGATGTTCGCCTGAAGAACAGGGTCAACTTTCAGTTTTATTCAAGTTCAAGTCAGCAGGAGCCCACCTGAAGAATAGGGTTGATTTTCAGTTTCATATTGAAGATTCAAGGAAGATTCGAGACAAGAAGTAGATAGGATTTTATATTTTTCTTTTATTTTTGCTGTAGCTTTTGCTTTTATTTTTGATGTAATGGAAGGGACCGCAGACCGAAACCTCAAACAATACCTCGCTCGAATCTCTCATCATCTAATCATACTCTATTACTTCATTCATTTTTTAACTACACTTGACTTGATTCCCTTATAACCCAGGATATGTAGGTTATCCAACATCAAGACTCGGTCACACTCTTTTTCTTTATTTTTGTTCTCTTTTAAATAAGGGCTGGGTCAAAAACGTATCTCGTCGTTTTTTGTCTGAAAATTCTTCGTGTTTCCAGTCAAAAAGGGGCAGTTGTAGACATGTAATTTTTTACCCTTCTCGAAACTTAATATATTTATAGTCCTTAAATATCGATTTTATGTATAATTTGTTATTTTAACTAGTTCTAACTTTTTTGCTTTATTTTATCTCAAACTAAAAACTAAAAACAAAAAAAAAACAAAAAATGCAAGAAAAAGAAAGGAGAAAACGTTAGGGGCAGAAGCAAATTGCAAAAAAAAGGAAAATTTAAAGTAATTCTTTCTATTTTATTGCCCATCACACATTTGCTGCACGTGACCTATCTTTGTGAATTTGTGGAAATATTCCCATAACAAACTAGAGAGGTCTACTTGTCCACACACATGGTCTCATTTTGAATCATTTAATTTCAGAATACTGTCATGACCCGCCACATTATCATACCATGTAGGTGCCACTTGGCACATATTTTTGCCATATGGAATGGTTACATAGCTTAGGGATTAGATCTTGGTGGAATATTCTAGACTATGGAGAATTTCCTTGGAAATGTTCTGGATATTTATGCACTTGTAGGAAGGTTCTAGAGAAATATAGAGATTTCCTTAGGAAAACCCTAGAACCCTATAGAACTGTTAGGAAAGTCCTTAGAAGATTCTAATTATGTAGAATATTCTAGAGAAGGGACTTATTTGTAAATACGGAAGGACTTGTAGAACAATTATTATTTACATATTAGCCCCTATGTGATTAGTATAAATAGGGGGCATTCATTTGTAATTCATCAACCAAGCAAACAATTCAAGTTCTCTCTAATACAAAGCTTCCTTTAACAATTCTTTTATGTTCTTTCTTCCATTTTCTTAGCGATCTTGAGTGTAATAAGGCTGACTTGACATAGCAAGATCGTGAGCGAGTTGTCAAGTGCCGCACGTATACTTATTTAACAACTAAGGACGTGACAATACACTGTACAATTAAGAGAAAGAGATTAGAAAAATAAAAAAAGAACGGAGATAAAGGGAGGGACAGAAAAAGAGCAAAATAGAGGTGAACATCATTTGGAATTTTTGTTTAGAAAAAGCAATACTTATAAACCCACTACTTCGGCTATCCTTCTTCATCAACGAACACACACATAACTCCTTTTGATTATTTCCAAAATTCCCACCGCCATGTGAACCAAGAGGACCTTTTTTCCCTCTTTCCTCTGATTTTTGCTTCACTAAAAGCGCTACTACAATCGCTGCCATTTTACCGTTCGAGGTGCGGAGTCACATTCTAGTCGAGGTTTGCCGAGGTGTTTTTCCTGGTTTTCGGTTTCGGGCTTCTTAGATCATTGAGTTTCGAAGGTGTTAATGGCAAGATCTTTGAAATAAAGGTCCATCTCTTAACTTTGTTCTTAATTAATTTTCAGCCTTCTTCCTTGTGTGTTTGAGATTTGAACAAAAATTCTGCTGATCTTAAGTTTCTCAATTGTGTGATTATGTGGCTCAGATTAAGGAAATTAGCTCATTTATTTCTCTTACTAAAAATTAATTGCATGAAAATACCATGATTTTGGCCATCTGTTGGCTTAGTTACAAGAAACAATGGGTCATGAGACTAGTGAATTAAAAGTTAAAAAAGGTTTGGGACCGGTAATTAGAAATTCTAGTTACTTGAGCTTTGGATGATTTTTGTCAATTCTTTATTTTGCTTTATTAATTTGATCGTTAGAAGCATGTTTAGACCGTTTATATTTGGGTAGGCAAATATTAGGTCGCTTATTTACTTTTGTCGAGGTGAGAGGTTGTTCCCTTTAGTTTATATTTAACGGAATGACGCGTAAATTTTGTAAATAATGATTTATTTAGGAGAATGCCATAAAGCACATGTGATTGAAGATTAATGGCGGGCGCCCCCGGAGGAAGCACTAGTGTAGGCTAGCATTTGTTTTATTAGAGCATTTTCTTTTTTCCTTTTCTTTTATTTTGTTTTTCTTTTATTAGATGTGAACGACCTCGAACCTTTTTGTGCATATTCTTCTTTTTGTATGTTTTACCTCAATTTGAGTATCTTTTAAAGCCAACTAGATCAAGTATGCAATCGTACTTGTTACGGGACTCGGAGAATACCAATCACCTTCTCCCTGAGTCAAATAAACCCTTTTACTTAGAATCTCTGGTTCAAACTAGTTTAGAAGTCTAAATGTATTTTAATGGGAACAATTATTTTATTTTAAAATGGTGATTTGGCATACCGAAACCAAAAATCAAGTGGCGACTCTGAAAATCCTTTAAAACACAATTTTGTCACTTTCATGATTGAAAACCCTTTTGAGCTTTAAAATCACTTTTATCATTTTAAAGAGGGTTGTTAAGTTGAAAAAATAGGCGTGACAAACAATGCCATGCATAATGCAGCAACGGTACACTCTTTATTTCTTTTATCATATCTCATGTCTTTGACTAAATAAATATACGGAGTTTGTTTTTCTTGTTTTGCAGGCTAATTTCCTTGCTTTCGAGGGATACCAAAGGTTGATTTGGGAAAAAGAAGAACTTACCTCTGAGCGGGATCAACTTATGGTCGAGCGAGATAAAACTATTGCTCGCCTCTTGGAATTGGAAACCAAAGCTGCTAAGGCCGTTGTGTTAGAGACTCAGTTGCAGCAAAGCGAGCAAGAAGTGGAAGCCCTTAGCCAGGAGATTGCCCGGCTGAGGGTTCAATTTGAAGAGGCCAAGGCCAAAGGAGCTGAAGGACATAATGTTGTACTTGCTGCATCAAATCACGAGGCTACCTGCGCTGAGAGATTGACCAACCTAGAGGCAGCCTTGAACTCCAAAACTGAAGAGCTTGCTACTGCGGGGGTGAAATATGTCCTATTGGAAGAGAAGTATAAGAATACTATTGAGCATAATATAATTTTCAACTCTACTGTCCGCGAACTCGATGTGAGCCTCAAGTCCGTTAGATCCGTGCGGGAAAATCTTTATGTCGAGCTTAACCTACTCAAAGAAGAACTCAGGCTCCGAGTGACTTCCTTCGTTGTTGAGAAACCTTACATTATGTACAACATAAGGAGAAAAACCTTGGAAGAGGCTAAAGCGGGTATCATTGATTTTGATGCCGAAATCACTAAAGCCCGTGAGCTAGAGTTAGCTGATAAAAGGGGTTTCCCAACAGGGCTTGATGCTTCCTATTCTTCTGGTTTTGATTCCGAAACTTCGGGAACTGAAGAGGAATCGAAAGGCAAAGAAATTGAAAGCCAAACTGATGAGGTCCAAGATGTTGATCCATCGGTGGATCTACCCATTTTCCCTGGGGGCGTGGACACTTCTCTTCTTCTAGCTTCCGGAGATGCAACAGTTTAGCTTTTCCTTTGTTTTCCCAACTTTTGTATCTGTGCCATTTTGGCACGTTTATTGTGAGTAAAAACATCTTTTGCTCAAGTATTGCATGAGTCTTTTTTCGTTTGACCATTTATGCAAGTTTTAATATTTGCATTCTTTTTTTGCTTGAGTGTTTTGCGCAAGTTTTACTGTTTGTGTCTAATTGTATAAGACTTTGGGTGTATTTTTCCCCCAAAAGCATTTGGATTTGGGGCACAAGTTCTTTCGAAATAAACCCTTTATCATGAGGGTTTTTATAATACATGTCCCTCTTATTTTTACGGTGCTCTTGAAGAGGACGTCTCATGTTCATTACAGCACTAGAATTTGAAGTACTTGATTAACTTTCAAATAATAAAATCAATTCATCGTTCTGACAAGAAACAAGATAGAATTAAAAGGGCTTTACTTTGTTCCTTCCATTTTCAAAATGTACATAAGAATTCATTATGATAAAAATAAATTGTCATTTCTTGTTCCTAGGTTATACAACTTGTTTCTACGGGGTTGGCTGCGCAATCCCCAGTCTCGATGACATAACAATATTTCTGGTTTTTGTATTTCGGTTGACATGGCAGTCATTGTTGCTGTATTCTCATATCATTCCCACCTCCAGTGTTTGAATGGGAAGAATGCGAATTGGTACACTGCACGTTTTGCACCTTCGAGGACTCCACTAATGAATTGCTATACAATCTTCAGCTCGGTAACAAACTTCGCTTCCCCTTAGGAATTTGTGCTATCGAGCAAATGACTATCTAACAATACTCTAGTGGTTTGCACTTTTGAACGGTCGGGTAACCTTTGCTTGATAGCAAACTCAATTTCCCGGGGGGAATTTCACTATCGAGCCAAAGATTATCTAACCGTTTTGGAGTGGTTCTTTGCTTGTGTGCCTTTCTATTAAAGGTCTTATTGCTTCTATTGAAACCTACTTCATAGTATGCTTTCCATTACCACCTCGTTAAAAAACTTGCAAGAAAAACCCAATTGGGACAAAAACTAGACGAAGGGAAAAAGAGTGCAGCACATACTTTGAGTATTGATGATGTTTGTCAGCAATAATATCTCTTGAGGTGTGCCATATTCCAGTTTCTTGGAAACTTTTCTCCATCTTGATTCTACTCGTATGAACCTTTCCCGGTGAAAGTTAAAACCCGGTAGGGGTCTTCCCAGGTTGGACCTATAACGACCCGACTGATTTTTTTGAGCTCCAGTGCGTCGTTCAGCGTTTTGAGTCCATGAGTAGCTTCTCTTCAAGTATTAGGACTTGTGCACGGTCGGAGTTAAATTTTGGGAAGTTCGGGTTTGATTTGGAAAGAAAATTCTAATTTCGAAAGCTTTAAGATGGAGGAATTGCCTAGGGTGTGATTTTTGAGTAGATGAACTTCGGATCGGGAATGAAGGTTCCATTAGGTTCGTATGATGATTTCAGAATTGGTCATATGTCTGGATCGGGTTTTGGATGACCCGGGATCGTTTCGGCACCTAGTATGGAAAGTTGGCATTTCCAAAGAATTTTATAAATTTCCGTTGAAGTGAAATTCAATGTTATCGATGTCCATTTGGGATTCTGAGTCTGGTAATAGCTCTGTATGGTGATTCTGGTATAGGGAGCACGTCCAGAAGTGAATTTGTAGGTCCGTAGGTCATTTCGGGATCATTTAGCGAAAGTTAGAAATTGGAAGGTTTTTAAGAAGTTTAACTAGGAGTGAACTTTTTGATATCAGGGTTGGATTCCAATTCTGAAAGTTGGAGTAGGTCCGTAATGTCGAATGTGACTTATGTGCAAAATTTGAGGTCAATCGGATGTGAATTGATAAGTTTCGGCAATGAATGTAGAAGTTTGAATTTCTAAAGTTCATTAAGCTTGAATTGGGATGCAATTCATGAATTCAACGTTGTTTGATGTGAGTTGATGCCTCGAGCAAGTTTGTGTTATGTTATGGGACTGTTTTGTTTGACTGGACGGGGTTCCGAGGACCTCGGGTGTTATTCAGGGGTGTTTCGGACCAAGTTTGGGTGTTTGAAAGCTTCAGTTTTTTGGTGTTCTTTTATTGGTGTTGCAAGTATCACAAAATGTGAGTATTGGTTCGCATTTCAGAACCTCACAGTTGGGAGAAGGACTTCGCATTTGCGAAGAAGCCTGGCCTGGGCTTAGCTGGCATTTGCGAGAATTTCAGTCACATTTACGACCTTGACAGGGTTCGCATTTGCGAGAATTTCAATCACATTTGTGACCTTGGCAGTAGAAGCTCAGGTTTTCATTTGCGATGATTTTGTCGCATTTGCGAACCAGGTGTTGCAAATGCGATGTCTGAGACCTATGTACAGTTTTATTAAATGCGGGACATAGGCCATTTAGCTCATTTTCTTTCATCTTTTGGGCGATTTTTGGAGCTTTTGGAAGAGGGTTTTCACCTAGCACTTTGAGGTAAGTAATTTTTATACAATATGAGTTAAATACATAGATTATGGGTAAATTAACATGTAAAAATTGGTAAAATAAAGAGCTTAGATGAAAGCTTAGGTTTTGGATAAGAAAAATGAGTTTTGACCAAGAAAATGGTTATGAAATTTGGTAAAAATCTATATTTGAATTCATGGAGTTATGGGTAACAACTTTCTTTAAAATTTTTCGGAATTCGTGCACGTGGTCCTGGGGGTAAATTTTATGAATCTTAGTTTAGAGTTGGGTAATCACTTTAATAGTTGGAATATGAATTTTTGAACATGTTTTGATTAGTTTATACACTATTTGATTAGTTTTGGATTTCTTCGTCACCGAATTGGGGGTTTGAGCATAATGCTGGATTGGAAAGTGGGCTTTGAGGTGAGGCAAGTCTCCTTTCTAACCTTGTTAGAGGAAATTAACCCCATAGATGAATTGAATTATACGTGCTTCTATTTGTGGGGGCTACATACGCACGAGGTGATGAGAGTCCGTACGTAGCTACAAATAATGCCTATATTCGGGTAGTTCTAGGTTTACACCATTCCTTGCTGATGCCGATATTTGATTATGTTTATTATTTATCTTGAAAGGAATTGAGACCGAGTATGCTCATTAAATGACTTGAAAAGAGTTGGAATTGAGGATTTCGAGGCTTGAAAGTTTTCATTTGAACTTCGTATTTTTTTGAAAAGAATTGAAGAATGTTAAAATAATAATTTGAGAAAATCTATGTTCAACCACGTCGCAAATATATTCCGCAAGCGAGGTAAATTTCCATTACTCTCATGGGAGCGGGTCGTTCTCCTCGTCAGGTTAATAGCTGCATCTATGGTTGGTGTCGTTCGACTCTCGACAGTGCACATTTTATATTTATATGTTGGTTCATGACATTCGACCCTCGGCAGTGCATAGTTTATATTTATATGTTGGATGAGGCCATGCGACCTCGCCATGACTTGCTCATGATAACTCTTGGAACTAATAATAATTGACTTTGCTTTATTGGCTTGAGATATAAATTGTTGAATGATGAAAGATGAATTTGATAATTTCCATTAGTGAAAGAATTGTTGATTATTTTCGGTCATTGAATTTTCAACTATGTTATGTATTCCATGCTTAAAAATAATAGCGGCATTTTATTCTTAGCCCATAGTAAATGTTAGAGTAAACCCCTCGTCACTACTTTTTCGAGATTAGACTGGATACTTACTGGGTACGCGTTGATTTATGTACTCATACTACACTTGCTGCACATTTTTGTGTAGGTACATATATGTCTAGTGTCCCGGAGAGAGCAGAGGCGTGGTTATTTACGGGGACCTAGGTGAACTGCATTTCCATATGATTTGCAGCAAGCAAAGTATCCTTCAAAGTTATTTTATATATCTTCCGGTCTAATTTGTATTTTGGACAAATGCTGTATTTTATTTTATCTTTCTAGTTGATGCTCATGCACTTGTGGCACCGGGTTTTAGGGGCATTTATGAGTTGTTCAGTAGTGTAGTTGGAAAATATTATCATTTACTTTGTAAATTTTATTTCTGATTGTTCGGTTGAAGGAAAATTATGATTTCAAATACTAAAATGAATAATCGAATTAATAAATTATTGTTGGCTTGCCTGACAGCGGTGTTAGGCGCCATCACCACTATTAATGGATTTTGGATCGTGACAACATGGTATCAGAGCACTAGGTTCACTAAGGTCTCACCAGTCATGAGCGAGTTTTGTAGAATCTTGCGGATCAGTACGGATACGTCTGTACTTATCTTCGAGGGGCTACAGGGCTGTTAGAAGCACTTCCCTTCTTGATTCCTTATCGTGCCATTTGATTCCTTCGAGGCTTATGCCTTGATTTCCTTCATATTCAACCTTATGCGACGTGAAACGCTTGTTATTAATTTGAAATTGAGGAATTAGTAATGCTACAACAGATGTGGTACAGGATTTTTCTACCTACGTATTTGATTGGGCTATTATCGTTGCCTTGCGGAAGGCTGTCCCGTCATTTCAGCTCAGTATTAGTATTACCTAAGGATTTGATATTTGGCATTTATTGTTATGATGATTCGTGCATTGCTTTTGCATAGTGTGGTGTAAGGTAGGATGCTTGTCTATGTCATGGGGCAGTGAATGACTTGAAAGGAGGTTTTACCTAGTGCATGATTTAGAGATTCGGTATTTTATTTTCGACAGAGGAAAGGCAATCAGACCAAGAATGTTCAGATTTGGGTTGATGGGGTAACGAAACTCAGTATTTTCGAGCGTGGTAGAATTTTCATCTGTGATGTGGTGCCGCTGTCCTTGTTGAATGTGCTAAGTTCGTCGGTGTTATAGTTTTCTTCAATTCACCTTCGGGGCGGGGTATTGTGAAATGATGTCGGGGAAGCGATTGTTAGAAATCGCGGTGTGTAGTGGTTCATAATAGAATCGGTGTTCCTAGCTATGATGGCTCGAGAAAGATGGTCTTCGTGGAGGTTTAAAGTTGGTAGAGATCTCTTGATCCAGCTGATACATAGATATATATTAATTTAAGGAAACACCTAGGTAGCGAAGGATAAGGAAAGACATGTGGGAGGTGTCTTGTGGTGGTTAAATTTCTAGAAGGCCAAGTGTGAGAAACATAACTCG